GTTTTCCTCACATTTTGAACCTAATAAAACGATGCAGCTCACAATTGGATGGATTCTTTGTTTGGCACATTGTCCATTCATATATACGATCTATGGTTGGGCAACACAGCAGATATGCGCAGCCTGAGTGCACAAAACGTCACTGTCTGTGCGGTTACACATGGATCTAGGGTTATACATGAAGTTGAAGAAGGATACGTCTTACCTGTATGCGTAAATGACGATAAGAAACTTCTCAAACTTCAGTAGCCGAACATCCACTCATACCTGATTGATAGAACTAGCCCCGCCCCCAAGAGAGTCTGAAATCTGCTGAAATCCTCCAAGACACTGACATGATACAGACAGGACAGAGGCTCTTTTTGCAGGAGACATGCGTGGTGAGAGACGGGGTGAAGAACCGAAGAAGATGCTCGTTGATTGTGTTTTGAACAGTTATTTTGCTCTTCATACACACACCTCCTCATGGAAAAAACATGAAGAAATGCAGATGATGAAGCTTTTAAGTTAACAGCGATTGATGTGAGTGTCGAAGAAGGAAACAGCTGCTGCACGTGAGCTCGATATGAATGAGTCAATGGTGAGATTTTGGCGACGGCAGCGTGACAAACTGACTCAATGCAAAAAGACAACAAAAGCTTTCAGAGGCAATAAATGCAAACGGCCCAAACTTGAAAACGTTCTTGAAGATATGGACACCTGCGGCTTATATTCAGGTGCGACCTATATATGTACAATTTTAAAATTGAGTTAAAATTTAATTGATGTGGCTTTTATTCAGGTGTGCTCAATAGTTCAGAAAATATGGTATTTGTTTTGCCTCGGGTGTTTTGTGGAGTGGGTAAGACTGTTTTTAGTGGCCATTGACATGCACTACTCTAGCACTAGTCTGATTTCAAATCAGAAATTGCCAATCTCTACTGAATTAAAAGTAAAAGATAACAAGTTAACATCACAAGGTAGAACAGAGCATTTTGAGCTTTGAAGATGTAAACACTAATATATTAAACCCGGGTTACTCAAACATGTGTGAATGAAACAAAACACAACTCGAGGTATGTTTTTTTGATGAGATAACAACTTTATAATATGACTTAAAGCTCACAAGAGTCAATTTTGTGTAATATAGTGACTTTAAAGATCAAGGCTATAAAAATATTGTTTTATTGAGTATTTTCACTTTATGTTTGACACACAAACTTTGACCCTTGGCATCCTCTCTCAACAAAATGACTTTGTAATTCCCACAGCCCCATGCTTTTCTCTCCCATGGTGCATTTGGATAAGACTTCTGCCCATGGACCATCTGTCTCCTCAATATGGCTGTTTACTTTGGTGATTTCTGCTCTCAAAACCGCAAGCCCTGAGGTGGAGGTGGAAGGAGCAGATCTGGCAACCCTCCCGGCACCAGTCCCTCTAGTTGTTTATGTAAATGCAAATGCCTCATGCTTGATTTTGCATATGAAACGCTAGAATGAGACAGCGCCATTTTGTTTTGTGTCTGTGTAAAAGCTGTCATTTGGCACCGGGTGCTTCAGTCTTGGAGAACTGACGAGACTGTCTGGGCACGAGGCCGGATTCAAGACCTCACATCTCCAACAAAGCAAAGACTGTGATTCTTCTCATGTAAAAACATTATTACAGTTGTTTCATTTTTCACACACTGAGATCATTCTGAAAACACAAACGTTTGTTGAAGAACACTGAGAGAAAAAACAAAAACAAATAAATGTTTAACTTAAAGGTGCATTGTGTAATTTCTTTCTAATACACGTGTTATTGCTTTGTCTGGAATGTTTCACAGTATGGCATTAAATCTTTCTATCTTCATGGAGACCATATCAGACAGGTTGCAGGTCAGGTCTGTGGAGAGGTGACCCCACTGACAGTCAGAATGCCTGTGTTTTAAAGGTATATTTGAGCTATAAAGCACATGTAATTGAATTGATGTGTGTACATGCACATCAGTATCTAGGTTATGATTGAGTTTTTTGAGTATCCTGGTTTCCTCACGGTGCATGTATACACAGTATCCCGGCTTCAGTATCCCGAATAAGGCAGTATCTAGATTATGAGAAACTGGGATACTGTAGCTGGTATATTCTGATAGTAACCGGGACACTGTGGCATGTATACACAGTATCCCGAATACTGCAACATAAAGATGAGTGCGCATGCGTATAAAAGACAAACACTTTCCAGTCTTTACACCACAACAGTAGCGACATAAATAAAGTGACAAACATAAATAAAGTGACAAACATAAATAAAGTGACTAACACAAATAAAGTGACCATACATGAGTGATAGAGGTAAGATCTTAAGACCGAGCCCAAGCCCGACCCGACCCGAAATTCGGTCGGGTCTAAAATGTCAATCATTACTTTGGGTCGGGTCGGGCTCGGGCTTCAAATAAATATATGTTTATAAAATGTATGCTAAAACGATGTGTGGATACTAAACTAAGGAATACTTGTTATAAAATAAATAATATGGATAAAACAGAGAAGTAATGTAATGTAATTGCTATTTAACTACTAAACAGGATCCGCAGAGCCAGAGCTCTGCGCACGTGAACGCCCCCTCTTAATTTAATAATCTTCCCCTCCGCAAGTCTGCATCTATTTTGACCTGGTATCCCCAATATGGAGGAGCAAGAAGTTAAACTAAAGGCAGGAGAACTGAAAAGACAAACACGCACCGGTAAGAGTGAGGTGTGGAAAAGCTTCAAATTGATTGTTGAAAATGCTACAGAAACTTGCGTTGGCTTCGCTGAATGTCGTCAGTGTGGCGCTTTGCTTTCATACGAGAGCAAAAAGACTGGCACCTCGACGCTGAGCACTGCTCCTCCTCCCGAGTCACAAATAAAATATGACATTTCGGGTTTGCTTCGGGCTCGGGCCTGCAAATCAAGTTAATTGGTCGGGCTCGGGCCGGGTCGGGTTTTAATACCCGCGGGCCGGGTCGGGTCGGGCTGGATTTTTTAGGCCCGATCTCACCTCTAATGAGTGACTGCACTAAACCTGCACTCGTACAATCTGCACTCGTATGATCTCTGAAAAGACACGATACACACAGAACAGAGTCACCATCAGCAGCACAGCCTCTGTCACAGAAAGAACACATATTTCACTGAGTTGTGTCTTTAGTCCAACAGAAGCTTACCACATCAGCGCCGCAAGGAGTGAGCTGTTTTTATTAGCCCTAACACTTTATGCAAATGAGCCATGCGGTTTTAAATTTTGTTTCTGTAAAAATGTAAACAAATGTGTGAAAAGCTGAATTATTTTATCAAACAGGCTCTATATTGGTTATGGTTTTCTGTGTTGTAAAGTTGAGTTAAAGTTAAAGTTTTCCTGGTTTATTATATTAAGTTAATGTTTGTAAGATTATGTCAAGAAACTGGGATACTCCATTTGATCATGTATACAGGGATATGAGTGTCCTGGTTTCTCAGCGCCCATCTATATCCTGATCCTGATTACTACCATAACCGGGATATGGCTAATAACCGGGATACTGATGTGCATGTAAACACACTCAATAAAAGTATGGTAGAGCTGTTTAATGTCATATTGTGGAACATTCCAGGCAGAGCAATGACCTCTCCAGAGAAACATGGCAGGTGACGGACCCTCTACCAGAAAAGTTACACAATGCACCTGTTAAGAAAGTGTTTTAATTAAAGTGGAAGAAAAGACGAAAATCCACTTTTTTCTGCTACTAAACCTTTTAATAGCATTATCTACTGTTATTGATCCGCGTCTTTTTTATTTATTTATTTAGGTACACTTGCAGCTTTCTGCTCATAAAAGTTTATGTGGCCTTCAGTTGTCTCTGTAATTTCAAGTACTACGTGACATCACACAGAACTGCCCTGATTACAGCGAGATGTTTCTGATACAAACACCGGGCTGCAGGGGCGGAGTTTGAAGTGTGGAAACCTGTTTGACCAATCACAATGTTCCTTATCCCCCCAGACCCCGCCCCTCACTCCTCCCCCCACTCTCTCCTTTAGTCCTCCAGGTACTGCCCAGTTCAGCAGCTCTATTTGAAATGTGTTTGTGAGTGGAGTTGATGTGTTAATGTCTTGATTCATTCCGTCATATTTCTTCTTAAGCGTATAACTAGTACTCACATGCACTTTTTTTTCCAAACAATGGATTGAAGAGGTAACATATTGGATATAGTTTGCCCATGTGTGTTGTCGCACTGAGCATGTGCATGTTGAATTTTAACGGAAATCAACTCTGCAGAATCGACTTTTTAGAGCTTTTAATCCCATTATAGTCATTTCCCCTTCTCATTGACCAACTTGAGGTTGTATTTAGTTTAGATTTCAAGATTCATGCATGTTTGACTAATCTTTATTCTCCTGTATTCAAGACATCATTGCTCTGATCAACTCCTATTTTTACCGCCACCGGCCCACTACTTTCTGAACTGGTGATACACGTACAACTTGGCAGTGTCGTGTGGCCATTTTGGTACAAATAAATAATAAATAAATATAAAAATAAATAAAATGTTGCCAGCATTGTGTGGCTATTTTTTGTGATGACATTTACGGCAAGTCAGCTCCCATTGGGCACCGCAGTTTTGTAACACCGAAGTCAGTATACATGATTTTATTTTTTAAATTTTTTTATTAAGTCATTTACCTATGTCATAGATTATAATTATATAACAGACACAAGCACAGTATGTCTTCTTTAATGCAAATCCGGTTCAAACTGAATCACATGGTGTCTTGACTGACCAGGTAGTAACATACCTATTGTTATTTTTGCCTGAATTATACACTAGACACATTGTAATTCTTCATCTTTATTACATAGACTTCACAAAGTAGAAACCAGAACCAAAGTAGAAAACAGAAATAATTTTGTAAACCCCTATAATAATACAAGATTAATCAAGCAAGTTTTAGAATGTAATCATATTTTTCTTTACCTCCCCATAAAGGAATACTGGTGCCTGTTATTCTGCAATTATGATTATTAATAAAATGGTATCGGTAGGTTGCAGGGCACTTGTTTGTATTCGACGAGGACTCTCCCGGTGATCTGAAAGTCCAGAGCTCTCCAGTTGATGATGTTTCCTGGAGTGTAGTTCTGGTCGTTCACGTAGCTCTGGATCTCACAGGAAGACAGCTCATAGTCCCACATGTGAACATCTGATATCATCCCCGTGAAAGACTGCCGGATGTCGAACCCGCCGCCGTAACTGTCTTGTTCCTGCATGGAAACACAGGCTCAGAATTTTAAACAGAGTCATTTGAAAGAAGCATTTATGTTACTCTTTTGTATGTGCTCTAAAGTAAATGCAGTGGTGTTCCTCCAGGTTATTCAGAAACTTGTTTTAATTTTTTTTTTAGAACTGATAGATCAATACATGAGCACAAGAAGGGCAATGGCAGAGACAGCAAGGGTTAGGGTGAGGGTTAGGGTTAGGCAAACACCACCTCCTGGTAGACCGAACAGTCACCAGTAACTGCAGAACCCGTCAGACCCGTGCACTGCCTGGATTGATTACAAGAAAGCCTATGACTCAATGCCACACACATGGATCACTGAGTGCTGGGAGATGTACAACAGCAACAGGACTCTAAGGGCCTGAAGGTCCCAAGGTCAAGGTGGGAAACACCTCCAACACCCAGACTATCTAAAGGTGAAGGCAAACCAAGAAGACATAGTGGCAGTGGAAAAGCAACAGAAAATGGGAACATCGGAACATCAGGAAATAAGAACATGAGAAACTAGAGCAATACCAGGGGCTCAACGAAGAGCTGGAGAAGGCTGCAAGGTGAAGTTACCCAACCCTAACCCAGGAATAATGGAGGATGACAGACGGACCCGAGCTGGATGAGGTGAGAGAGACCAACCACTGTGGAAGGTGACACACACACACACACACACATATAACATATAACACATAGTGTGTCAGTGTCTCGTTACCTGTCCCAAGATGACGATGGGCAGTCCATTGATCCAGGAGTCAGAGATGTATTTCTTGCTCAGAAGTCGTCCGTTGAACCACAGCTGCACCAGACCTGTGCTGGAGTCCCAGGTGGTGCACATGGAGTGCCATACGTTTGGGGTGTAGTCCACTGTGTAAGAAACTGGGCTATTATGATGAGGCATAATCTTCTTCTGGTCGCCATTCCAAAAAGTGAGAAATTCATTTTGATTTGATGGTGTGGCCAATGAGAAGAAGGCATGGCTTCGTGTGAGGTCAGTGAAAGTTCTGTCAGTGGAAAACAACAGTTCAATGTTTACAGTATACAAATATACATATACATATACAAACACAATATAAATAAATAAATACAATATTCAGCAGGATAATCATGTTTTCATAATAAGGGCAACATGAGTAGGTTTGGTGTGTATGTTTGTCCCACAGTTTACAGTGAGACAGACCTCACACTGAAACACTCACCTGTGACACACTGTTATAGTGCTGAAACTGCTCTGCCCCACTGTGAGCCTTACGTGAGCCGTTTCAGTTTCTTCTGGAAAAATGAACACTTTTCCAGACAAATCTGAATAGAGAGAGACACGGGAAAGTGTCAGGATCTAAAATACATTGGACTAATTATCTTTCAATTTATTTTTATTTTGTTACCTAGAATGGCCACTGCCTTTGAGAGGAACATCACAAAGCAAACCAAGAACTTCATCTGTTTCAAATAAAAATATCAGACTTTTTTTTTTTGTTTGACACTGTTTTATAACTCACTACTCTGTATTGATTTGCAGCTTACCTTCGCAATTTCCGGTTCTGAAAATATAAACAAAAAATACTATTGTCATACAGTGATCAAACATGATTACAGGCTCATTTTAAACCCTTTATACTTGTATCATTTAGTGTTCTTACCCCGTGTCCAGGTCCTGCTGTGGTCTGAAGGGTAACTCTTAAAACCTCAGGAGGCTTATATAGCAGTTCTTCAATGTTGGGGGGGTCACGTATAGCCCCAGGTGTTCCTTACTGAGTGTTGTTACTTGTTCAGCAACATTCTGTAATCCACATTTTGAGAACTCATGACCTGTTTGGCATGAACTATTTTCTCCTAATGTGTTTATTTCCTTTGGCATAGGTGTGTCATGAATGTGCTACAAAAGAAAGGTTTAGGAATGGGTCACAAATTAGGTGACTGGACGGTGCTGCTGGAACAAGTTAGACAAGATAATTGTTGTTTAAATCAGTATTTGAACAGTTTAATATTATCTGAATCATATATTTATGAAATTTCTTTTAAATGTTCTTTTCTGAGCTTTAGATCATGTTACAATTGTTATTCCCACTCAAAGTTGTATATTCAGTGGTTCATGTGTGTATGAGTGATCTTTATTGTCGCTCTTGATAGTTTGCAGTGACATGATGCTGGCAGAATTTAACTGGTTATACAATGCACATATTTATGGAAGCCCATTTCTGCCAGTAAAGAAAAAGTAAAAGCCTCAGAGTCATAATTGTCTCATAATAGTCATGTGGCAACCAGCTTTGAGGGTCTAGGCTGCGGGTGCTCTTACCTGGCGTTCCGTGGCGCTGCGCTGGTGGGCTATTTAAGCGCTCCCTTCTCAGTCGTTCCCCCTTTTGGCTCACACGCTCTTCCGGGCCTCTCCTTGTGGCCGCTCTGTCCTCCAGCTAAGGTAACTTTCACTTTGTAAATTCCATGCCCGTTACATCAAATTTCCTATCACGTTTCCTTTTAGTGTCGCTGCTTGGCCGCTGCTTGGCCGGTGCTCTCACCACATCTGTCCCTCGCGTCTCCGAGTCACAGAGCACCTAGGGCGCGCTTTCGTCTCCCCTGATAAGGTAATGCACGCCCGGTATTCCTCCACTCATTCATCCGTGCCCATACTTTTACCGGTGTCTCTCTGTAGCTCAACGGGTGAGCCGAGCGAGTCCCTCCCCATTGCGCTTGGCGGTGCACCGCCGTGTCTCTTAAACCGCGGCGGCAGGTACATTTGCTTTGTTTTGTTTTATCTTTGTTTTACGTCTGTTTTGCTGTTTTGTTTTGCTTCAGTTTTGCTTTGGGTTTTGGGGTTTCGTTTTGCATTTTCAATATTGTGTACTCGTTCTCCCACGGTAGTGTTTTACTGTTTGCAGATTTTTATGGACGTAGCTACTTTTAAACCACTTAAATCTGTCTTTTAAAATAGAAAGGAATAAAGATTTGTGTAAATGATGGAACCTGGCTCTCTGTCCTTTAATGATATGCTTACCTGTGTGCCTTACATTTAGGGTAAGCTGCGGACCTGTTTGCAGAAATTGACCTGTCCTTCCTGTCCCCTGAAGAACAGGTGAAGGTGCGGTCACTGCTTAGAAAGTACGCCTCTGTGTTTGCTGCAAATGATCAGGATTTGGGTTGTACCAACCTGATCACTCACGACATCCCCCTACTGGATGATGTTCCGGTCCGGCAGCGATACCGCCGCATTCCTCCATCGGAGTTGGTGAAAGAGCATATCAATCAGCTCTTGAAAGCACAAATTATTAGAGAGAGCTCCAGCCCATATGCTTCACCTATTGTCTTGGTCCGGAAAAAGGATGGCAGCATTCGTCTGTGCGTTGACTACCGTCAACTCAATCTGAAGACCCGAAAGGATGCTTTTCCGCCACCACGAATCGAAGAGTCACTCGATGCTTTGACAGGGGCCCGCTGGTTTTCCACCATGGACCTGGCCAGCGGGTATAACCAAGTCCCTGTTGCAGAGAGTGACCGGCACAAAACAGCTTTCTGTACGCCCTTCGGTTTGTTTGAGTGGAATCGTATACCTTTTGGGCTCTGCAACGCAGAGCACCTTCCAACGGTTGATGCAACGTGTCTTTGGGGACCAGCAATGCCAGTCGCTCCTTCTTTACCTGGACGATATTGTTATATTTTCGTCCACGGTACAGCAACATCTGGAGAGGCTGGGCGTGGTGCTGGGGAGGTTGCAGAAAGAAGGGCTCAAGGCTAAACTGAGCAAGTGCCGTTTCTTCCAGCGGGAGGTGCACTACCTGGGTCATGTGATCTCTCGAGGGAGTTGCCACGGACCCCAGCAAAATTGAAGTAGTAGTTAACTGGCCTACACCATCCACGGCTACGGAACTCCGTTCCTTCCTTGGATTCGCCAGCTACTACCGACGTTTTGTCGAGGGTTTCGCCAAACTGGCTGCTCCCCTACATCGCAGAGTTGCTGAACTGACTGGTAAGAAGTCCAGGAAAAGGCCCGTCCGGAGTGATGCTGGACCCTGGACCTCAGAATGTCAGCAGAGCTTTGAGGCTCTAAAAGCCAAGCTCACCATGGCTCCGGTACTTGCCTACGCTGACTTCTCCCTCCCATTCATTTTGGAGGTTGATGCAAGTCATGCTGGATTGGGGGCAGTGCTCTCCCAGGAGCAGGAAGGGAAGGTGCGGCCTATTGCCTACGCCAGTCGAGGGCTGAGTCCGACTGAGCGTAATATGTGCAACTACAGCTCTATGAAGCTTGAGTTGCTGGGCCTTAAGTGGGCTATGACTGAGAAGTTCAGGGATTATCTCCTAGGCCATAGATGCATGGTCTATACTGACAACAACCCCCTGAGCCATCTTGCGTCTGCCAAACTGGGAGCTGTTGAGCAGCGTTGGGCCGCCCAGTTAGCTTCGTTTGATTTTGAGTTGAAGTGCCGATCAGGTAAGTGTAACAAAAACGCTGACGCTTTGTCTCATCAGCCTGGCACCACTTCACAGGTATCGGCATCCAGGGCCTTGGGCACGTATTTGCCTGAGCAGTTGCAGCAAGCTTTGCAAGGAGTAGCTACACGGGCAACACAGTCTGTGGTGACTGTCCTCCCTTATGTTTCCCCTGCTGACCTCCGGGAGCTTCAGCAGTCTGACCCCACCCTTCAGGAGATCCTGACCTTCTGGCAACAGAATCGACAGCCCACTCGTATAGAGTGACGAGCCCTTTCTTCCGCTGCCCTTTTAGTGCTGGCCCAGTGGGACCGCTTGGTTGAGTTAGAGGGGCTGCTGTATCGGCAGGTGTTTCGTCCTGATGGTGGTGGGGCTGTGTATCAACTTCTTCTGCCCAGAGCCCTTGTTCAGGATGCCCTCACCCAAGTCCATCAGGAGCATGGACACCAAGGTATAGAAAGGACTTTAGCCCTGTTGCGTTCCAGGTGCTATTGGCCTGGTATGTCCCGTGAGGTAGCCCAATGGTGCCAGGCTTGCGAGAGATGTCAGCATGCAAAGGACAATCAACCTGTTGCGCACGCGTTCATGAGCCACTTGCTGGCCTCGCAGCCGAATGAGATTGTTGCAGTCGACTTTACACTATTGGAGCCAACCCCTGATGGTCTGGAGAATGTGCTGATAATGACCGATGTTTTTAGCAAATACACCTTGGCCGTCCCAACCCGCAACCAGCTCGCCTTTACAGTGGCGCAGGTCCTGGTCACGGAGTGGTTTGCGAAGTTTGGCGTGCCGGCTCGCATCCACTCCGACCAGGGCCGGAATTTTGAAAGTAAACTCATTCAGCAGTTGTGCAGCTTGTACGGGATCATCAAGTCTCGCACTACCCCATACCACCCAGCAGGTAATGGGCAGTGCGAAAGCTTCAACCGCACGCTGCACAACATGTTGCGTGCGCTGTCTACATCCCGTAAGAGAGACTGGAGGTGCTGTACGCCTACACCGCCAACACCACTCCTCATCAGTCTACAGGCGAGTCGCCCTTCTTTTTGATGTTTGGGCAGGAGCCGCGACTGCAGATCGACTTCCTTCTCAGTCGGGTGCCAGAACCTGTGGGGGGAACTATGCATGAGTGGGTGCAGGAGCACCAGGCACTCCTTCAGGTGGCCTTTGATTGTGCCAGGGAGAGACTACGCTTAGCTGCTGCACGCTGAAGCCCTTGCATAATAGTGACTCTCCGGCTCCCCTACCGGTCGTGAGTCCTCCTGTTGCACCTTCAGCTCCAGTGCCGGACGACGAACTGTCCTTTGAGGATGAATTATTTGTGCAGGTGTCTGCCTCACCGCCAGCAGCCTTGCTTCCTGCAGTAGTGGTGCCGCCCCCACCCTCTCAGGCCTCTTTATCGCAAGTTTCTAGGGCTCCAGAACCATCAGCGGCTCTTCTTGCTCCTTTGGCTGGCCAGGCGCCGTCTGCACCTGAGCCAGCAACTCCTTGTTATCCTGATCAGGTCACCGTGCGCAGGTCTACTCGGTCAACAGCTGGCCACCACCAAAATCCCCATCATCTTCCAAGGTCCATAGCTGGACAGCCATCTAGGGGAGTTGATGTGGCCGAATCGTCATTTAGGGCCACCTATGTGGTGTTTAGACCGTGGTGCTAAGATGCATCTCTTCATCGTCGGGTCGACGATGCAAACCGGGGGGGTAGAATGTGGCAAGACCAGCTTTGAGGGTCTAGGCTGCGGGTGCTCTTACCTGGCGTTCCGTGGCGCTGCGCTGGTGGACTATTTATGCGCTCCCTTCTCAGTCGTTCCCCCTTTTGGCTCACACGCTCTTCCGGGCCTCTCCTTGTGGCCGCTCTGTCCTCCAGCTAAGGTAACTTTCACTTTGTAAATTCCATGCCCGTTACATCAAATTTCCTATCACGTTTCCTTTTAGTGTCGCTGCTTGGCCGCTGCTTGGCCGCTGCTTGGCCGGTGCTCTCACCACATCTGTCCCTCGCGTCTCCGAGTCACAGAG